TATCAGCCTGTAACAGAAATTCTGATTGGTTGCTGATTTAAGGTGTCAGTTGTAAGCATCTACCTGCAATCTGATTGTACCAAGAATATTGCATTGCAAGTTGCATTCCCACTTTGCAAATAATTGAAAAATCACTCGTAGAATAAGGTAAAAAACATAAAATGTGTTAAAAATGCTGCTGTTTTAGGTAAAAAAAATATGTCAAAAATAAATATCCTGACTTTCCACACATTTCTATTTTGAAAGTACTGGTGAGACTCATCCCTTAGATAAACATAACATACAATGTGTGTAACTGACCATCCATTTAGGGGGCTTGCTTAAATTCCTATTCTGCAGTTATTTTCTCATTACCGATCAACAATCTCAACATTTGGTTGTGTATATATTGGTCTGGGGATGAGACCTCACAGAATTGTTAAATGTTTGATGTTTTATTTTAACAGAAGTCTTCATGAACAAGGCTTGGAAGCAGGATCAGCATTTGCGGTGTACTACAAAGGTCAGAAGGTTGTTGACCTATGGGGTGGATATGCAAATTATGACGAAGCAGATCCATGGCTTGAAGACACTATGTCATTAGCATACTCGTCCACAAAGGGTGTGGTAGCAATCTGTATTGCTGTTGCAGTGGATCGTGGGTATTTAGATTATGATCAGAAAGTCTCTCACTATTGGCCGGAATTTGCGCAGAATGGGAAAGAGAACATAACTGTGAAGCAACTAGTAAATCACGAGGTAAAAAATACATCAATATTTTATTCTCATCAAAGTTTTTAACTTTATTCATGAATAATTATACAAAACTATAACATTTTTTTTTATTGACTTAATTAAAAATATCTTACATCTATACATTTAATAGGACTGGGCTACCTGTTTTGAATCGGAAAATCACAACGGAGATTCTTAAAAATCCTGAAGAGATGAATAAATTATTGTCCGAGACAACGCCAGTATGGGAGCCAGGTACAGCACATGGTTATCATGGTATGACTTTTGGATGGTTTTTAAGTTACTTAATAAAACATGTTGATCCAAAACATAGAACCATTGGACAGTTTTTGCAAGAAGAAATAGCTGATAATTTTGGTGAGTGTTTATTCTGTAAAATATTGCTAATTTGAAGATCCTGTGTTGCTTAGAGTTTACAATTGTTATTTATTGTCTTCTATTTATTGTCCGGCGTTGTTGTTGTTTTTGTCGTCGTCGTTAATAATTGTTATTGTGTGCACAATAACTTTACTAATTCTATTCCAAACTTTATCACACTTGGTCACCTTAGTCATCAGTATAAAGTCTACCCTTAGTATGAACAACAGATGCCCTGTATGAAAATATCATGCAAAAATTGAGAAAATCTGATAAAATATTTTGACTGTTTCTACTTGACTGATCACTGGTGATACACATTCGAAGATCACTGATCTCAATGGGAGTATACCTTGCTCTATGTGTTCAATGAAGCAAATCATTTATCTTGTAAAAACATCATTGGTAATGTATCTTCTGAATCCCATGGGAATACTAGACTGGGTTTCAAAACCAACGCGTGGGGAGAGTTGCACAGTCTAAGGCTAAGTGATTCATTATTTTTTGACAGACGCATGTACAAAATACTTGAGCAAAAGCCAGCTAAAATTTTCTGTTACATGTATCTTTCATGTTTTATGAATCTATTCACGTCTATTAAAATGCAGTACATTTTTCTGAGATGAGGCATTTGTTTTTTATACTAAAATATCTGAATTACTTTCAGTAAAGCTGGAAATTATGTTCCTTAAGGATGCGGTAGAGTTATCATGCTCTAAAAAGTAAAAACTGTTTTCATGAGGAAAAGTGTTTTGAAGCATAGCAAATTATATATTTTCTTGAAGCCCTTGTTCCTGGCTTTTTGAAAAAAATGATCTGTGACATGTACCACGAATTAGTCACGTGATTACTGAGTAAACATAGAGGTGTTATTTTGAATAAAAATGAGTTTTGTATAAAAACCGTAGGGGTTTTGTAAAAAAAAGAAAGCTGAAAAATCAAGGCAGCATCAGCCCCGTCAATGCCTCGAGAGTGTTTGAACATAGATTGTATATTTGTTTACAATGACACCAATTTACATTTTTCCTGTTATTTCACCCATAGACAAGGAATTTAAAAGCCTTTTATTTTTTATTGCGAGAAGTTATCAAAAAATGCTTCAAGGGTTTTTACAACAAAACACATAACATGGAGTCACTTAGTAGCCTTGCAGTAATAAAATCCAAAACTATAAAGTTTTGGGTCCGTATTCGTCCTCCAAAAAGAAGCGAAGTTGTTACAGTACATGGTGGCCCCGCATAACGTTGAACAGTTAGAGAGATAAATGACGTCATCTCATTATATATTCAAATCATGTTTACATGCGAAGCATGGTCTGTATAACAAACGCTTGCCAAGTAACCGGAGAAAGAGGTTGACATGCCTAAACGCCAACCCCTAGTGCTAGTTAACTCAACAACATCCGACGTTTTGTCTTGTTCTAGTAGACACTCGACTTCCAACGCAACTTCGGAAACGGCGTCCTTGTACGGAACTTTGTCGATGGATGACCTGGCGGCAATCCCACATAAGACACTAGTTTTTTCAAACCTCGCCGACCTCTCCCAACTGCTCGTCCGACCAATTTAGATTTTCGGTTGATATTAAATTGTCTGCCCGACTTTTTGGAAGATGGAAATTGATCATGTTTGCTGACGAAATTTTACCCTCTTGATTTGAATACTCAAAGTGTGAACCCCATTGTACTGTCGGCAATGCGTTTCTGTTATAGGTAAAGTTTCGCTTCCTCTGAACTGCGTTTTGAGTTTTTCCTTGGGGCCTCTTTTTTGTGATTGATCAATAATCAGGAGCCGGAGTTGATATGACCGCGTCATCTTCAGTGTGCACGTTTTCCGTCGTGAAGGGATTATGCAAATTACGCAATAAGTCAATGTTATTGTTTGCGTCAAGACTTTTATCTCAAAAACAAAGTGTACAGTATCCCGTTATACAAGTAGTTTTTCTTATTTTTTTTTAAAAAAAAAGGGTATTCTAGATGTGTTTCAGTTTTAATTTTGATAAAATTATGAGCCCAATAACTTTACAAAAGTAATAACAAAAAAAGCAAAATTCACGAAAATAACTCTACCGCATCCCTAAACCAATGTTTTTGTAAAATATTTACATCAATCAAGGACATTCGGTAGACTGCTTTCCCACTGTTGTTTCAATCCCAAAACTTGTTTGTATTCAAAATTAATTATGAAAATGCATATTCATATTGAAACGAACTATGATAAAGTTCAACTATGTTTATCTTTTGTCTTCCTAGGGATTGATTTTTTCATAGGTTTGCCTAAAGAGGAAGATTATCGAGTTGCGAAGTCAGACGTTTCACCATGGCTGTTTTTTAAGATGATGCTGAGTGCAAAATATAGACCTTTAGGTATCAACATCTTGTTCCGACCAAACAGCTTGATTTCAAGGGCAATACGCGTCCTTGGTAGTTTTGGATCAGTAAGTTCATGTGAAACAATCTTGGTCATGTGACCCATTTTTCTTGTCAAGCATTTATTTTTGTAATTTTACAGTTGCATCTTGGATTTATAGATGTTGTACTCCACTGTGGTTGTATTCATATTCAGGCTGTAAACTGATATGGTTATATTCATATTCAGGTTGTACACTACTGTGGTTGTATTCATATTCAGATTGTACACCACTGTGGTTGTATTCATATTCATATTCATATTCAGATTGAAGTGATA